GGCGTCGTCAGTCCCTGAGGACTGGCTCGATGCAGTTGTCCTCTCTGTTCGCAAACCGGGGTCTCTGGGTACTTCCCCTAAGGACTTTCGCCCTATTGCCCTCACAAGTTGTCTGCAAACTCTTTGAACGTATGGTTAACGTTCGCCTGATATGGTTCCTGGAACACCATCACCTCCTCTCCCCTTCTCAATTTGGTTTCCGCAAGTGCCGCAGCACGACATATGTCCTGGTGAACTTGGAAGTCTATATTCGTACTGCTTTTGCTGCGAAGACCTCCGTTGTTGCCGTCCTTTTTGACCTGGAAAAGGCTTACGACACCACTTGGCGATATCATATTCTATCTCAACTTCATTCTTTTGGCCTTCGTGGTCATCTCCCTCTCTTTCTCCACAGCTTCCTCTCTCGTCGTTCCTTTCGAGTGCGACTTGGTACTGCTCTCTCTGCCTCTTTTCAGCAATACGAAGGTGTGCCCCAGGGTAGTGTTCTGAGCACTACTTTTTCTGGTTACCCTCAATGGTCTTCTTTCCTCTCTTTCTTCAGGTGTCTTCTCCGCACTCTGTCGATGATCTCACCCTTTGCTGTCAGGGTGATGATTCGCCTCTTTCAGTGCAGGCTTCAACTTGCAATTGATGCCGTGTCGTCTTGGGCCACCGATCATGGCTTCAGGTTCTCTACTACTAAGACTTGTGCCATGACATTTACCCGGAAACGGGTCGTTCTTCGTCCCTCTTTGTCACTTTATGGTCATCCCCTTGAGTACAAAGATTCCGCGAAGCTTTTGGGGTTATTTCTTGACACTCGTTTGTCTTGGTCTCCCCATATCTCTTACCTCTGTGTTGAATGCTCTAAGGCCCTTACCCTCCTTCGGGTATTGTCCCATACTTCTTGGGGAGTAGATAGGCCCACTCTCCTTGCTTTACATTCCTTTCTCGTCCTGTCTAAGCTCGATTATGGTTGCCCTGCTTACTCGTCTGCTTCTCCTTCTACTCTTCACCGTCTTGATGCTTTGCACCATACTGGGTTGCGCCTCAGTTCTGGTGCCTTTCGTTCGACTCCCGTTTTTAGCTTGTATGTTGACACTGGATTCCTGTCTCTCCAGGGCCGCCGAGATCGCTATTGTCTTCGCTATCTTGCGCGGTCCTCACAACTTCCTTCCTCTCGCCTCTGTCGTGCTTTAACTTTTACCCCTCCTGCGGTTCCTGTTCCTCTTCACCACCTCCCTCTTTCTGTCCGGTTATCTTGCCTACAGGATTCTCTTTCCATTCATATTTCTAATGTTTCTCCTCGTGTTGTTCCTTCTTTGCCCCAGTGGAGAGTCCCCCTTTTGCGGTTTTGTACATCCTTGACCGGCGTCACTAAAGCTTTTACCCCTCCTACAGTTTTAAAACGCCTTTCCCTTGAGCACTTTTCTTCTCACTCCCGCTCCGTTTCCATATTCACCGATGGGTCTGTCTGCGGACAGTGTTGACTACTGTTTTTTTCCTGATCGCACTTATATGTGTTGCTTACCTCTGGAGACTAGCATCTTTACAGCGGAGCTTTGCCTTTTCATGCCCGAAACGCTATGCGTAATAGTGTCTTTAGGCATTGTATGTACTAGCTCTATCTATAAGTCAACCAATCTTTGTAAAAATTTATTGTATGTATGTACCTTACCTAAATAAACATTTTATTTTATTTTTTTGTGCTATTCTCTATGCTCTTCGTCTCGTGCTTTCTCGTTGTCAATCTTCCTTTGTGGTTGTTGTTGACTCTCGTAGTGCCCTCATGGCTCTCGGGTCCTTTAATCCGGTTCATCCAGTAGTTGTCGAGATCCAGGATTGGCTGTTTCTTGTTCACAGTAAATTTAAGTCGGTTGAGTTTTGTTGGGTTCCCAGCCATATTGGTGTGTCTTTAAATGAGTGTGCGGATGCTGCTGCCATGGAAGCTGTCCGCTCTTGTCCCTTTTCTCGTAAAGGTATTCCATATTCCGACTTTTACCCGGTTATCCATTCCTCCGTCCTTACCCGTTGGCAGGCTTCTTGGTCGTCTGTTACTGGTAACAAACTACGTACTCTTAAGTGTTGTGTTTCCTCGTGGCCGTCCTCCTACCACCGTAACCGGCGATGGGAAACAGCTCTGGCGAGATTGCGTATTGGCCATACTCGCTTAACCCATGGTCACTTGATGGAGCGCTGCCCTGCTCCTTATTGTCCTAGTTGCATTGTCCCTCTTACGGTCGTGCATGTCCTTCTTGAATGTCCTGACTTCCGGGATGAGCGTGTGTCTTCCTTTCCGACCGCCCCTCGCGGTCGCCTGTCCCTCAATAGAATTCTTGGTGACTCGGATACTTTTGATATCGTTCGCCTTATGCGCTTTTGTTCTCGTATTGGCATCCTTGGTGATATTTAGCACCCTCTGATTATTCCGCACATTTGATGTTGCTACATAGCCTTCCTGGTTTGGAAGGCTATGTAGATATATCTACATAGCCTTTATATATCTATAAAGACACGTTTACTTGTCCCCCTCGTGGTCGTCGCTGGCAACCCCTTCGGGTTGTGAAGATTACCTTTGATGGTAGGACCCTTCCGCCCTCTGTCATTCTTGCTGGTGCCAGGTGCTCCGTCCAGGAGTACATTCCCTCTCCTCGGCTCTGTAATAAGTGCTGGAGGTTTGGGCATGGTGCTCTCTGCTGCTCTGTAAAAAAAAAAGAGGAAAAACAACAGAGTAGCCTACACCCTCCGAAGACTTAGACCCATCGGTGAAGACAGAAACGGAGCGGGAGTGAGAAGAAAAGTGCTCAAGGAAAAGGCGTTTTAGAACCGTAGGAGGGGTAAAAGCTCTAGTGATGCGTGTCAAGGATGTACAAAAATGTGGAAGGGGGGACTCTCCATGGGGGCAAAGAAGGAACAACACGAGGAGTGAATGTCCTGGCTTCTGGGACGAGCGTGTGTCTTGTTTTTCAAACATCCCCCGCGGTAGCTTGTCCCTCGATAGTATTCTTGGTGACTCAGATACTTTTGATGTCGTTCGCCTTATGCGTTTTTGTTCTTGTATTGGCATCCTTGGTGATATTTAGCGCCCTCTGATTATCCCGCACATTTGATGGTGCTACATAGCCGTCCTGGTTTGGTGCCTTCTTTTGATAATTACTTACTAAATTTGATATTTCAACTAAATTTAGTTGAAAACAACAAGAAAAGTTTGTCTTGGTAAATTTGTACTGAATGAAAGAAAAAAATTGTACATTTGATTTTAAAGAACATGTAAGAGAATGCGATAAACGCAGTGAACTTGTGGGGGGATATGAACTTGAGGGGAATTTTAATTTGTGGGGAATATGAACTTGCAGGGAATATGAACTTGCAGGGAATATGAACTTGCAGAGAACATGAATAATGACAAAAAACACAGAATACGAAGAAAAAGCAATGAAAAATATAAAGATACGAGAGGCTAAGGCGGGTACGGAAGCTAGAACTCTGTAATTATTTGGATCTATTTTACTATGTACTTAATATAGCGGTCTTAAATTTCAGGAGGATTGGATTGATAGTAAAGAAGTAATGGGGTAAAGTAAGGCCGGGAAGAGGAGTTAGAACTTGCTTACTGACTTGATTTGATTTACTACGCATGAAATATAAACATAACTTTAAAATTTTAGGTAAATTGTTCAAGTATTAACGAAGATACGAGAGGGGGTTAAGACGGGGACAGCAGCTAGAGTTCGGTAATTGTTTGGATGTATTGTACTATGTACGAAATTCAAGGGTGTTAAATTTCAGGGGGATTGGACTGTTAGTATTGAATCTAGGACAGGGGGGACAAAGGCAGGGACATGAGCTAGAGTTCGGTAATTGTTTGGATATATTTTACTAAGTCTGAAATACAGCGGTGTTAAAATGTGGCGATTCGTTCGTTCAAAGAAATGCGGTCTTTGACTAATTTTGGTTGTTAACTGGACTCTGACTAATTTTTGGTCCGTAACTGGAAACTGGCGAATTTTGGTCTCAATCTGGACTCAATTTGAAACCGCTGTAAATGGATATAGAAACTGAAGCTTACTGTTAGGATGTCTATTTTCCTTAACAAAACTTCTATGACAATATTCTCTAAAAATGATCTTTTGAAATATTTTCGATCCTAATCTCTTAAATAAACATCTATGATCATATGAACTGAAATATTTTCATAAAACTGAACTCCAGAATTTTGAATTTCTGCCATAAGACCTCTAAGTCCAAATCGGTTACTTTTGTCCAGAATTTCCCTTATAAGAATCCTTCAAGACTGAATGAGGGATTTTTGCATCGAATTTTCCCCATAAGAAAGCTTTGAGAACTTGCCCATTGCGAGCCCATTTGCCCCGAATTTCCCTCGATAAGAACTCTTAAAGACCTTTGCAGGCCCATCCCAAAATTTACTTGGAAACCCCTGTCACAAACGGGAATGTCATATTTACATGGAACCCCGACGTCAACAAACAGGAATGTTAAATTTACTTGGAATCGCCACATCACAAACGCAAATTTAAAAAAAAATAAAAAAATTCCCGTTTTTTTACAGTCTCCCTACTACTTATTTGCTGGCGTCACTGACTGGGTGTTACGTGGTGTGTGTGCTTGTACACGGACTAGTGGGGGTGATGTTTCCGTCACCAGTAGTGGGGGAGGTTACGTAACATTTATGATGCGATTGTGTTGGGAGTATACGATTGTGGATGAAATACGTTGGAGGAGCAGCAAGGGAGAATTCGTTGGAGGCACATAAATACGAAAAGGAAATACGTTTGAAGGACGAGTGTGGCGTGGGTGGGTCATTCGGTGCATGAAACAAGGAAAGGGGTTGGGAGGTCTGGCTAAAGTTGATGGTTTGATCATCAATGTTGAGTAAATCTAGTAGTAGAATAAAAAAAAATACATTTAAATGTCGCTAATAATGACACGTCTTAAACCTCTAAATAATTCTCATGTTATAGTTCGGTAAACTACTAACTTTTTATCTTTTTATTTTACAGAGTTCACATGGCAAGTGTCGGAGGCCTAAAGGAAGAGGGAACAGTACACAAGATGAGGAATGACGGCACGTTATTACAGTCTCCAGCGTCTCCACAGCACATGTCTCCAGCGTCTCCACAGCACATGTCTCCAGCGTCTCCACAGCACATGTCTCCAGCGTCTCCACAGCACATGTCTCCAGCGTCTCCACAGCACATGTCTCCAGTATCTCTACAACACTCACAGCAGCTGCAAACTAGCGAAGATTTTAAAAATAAAATTACTGTAGGTTTTAATTGTCATGGGCAGGACATTGGAGATCAAGTTAGACACACAGTTCCCCAACACCTCAAAGGCCATGATAACGATGGAGCTTCGGGTGACGAATTCCAAACTGGGAATGGAGATGAAAAAAATATTTTAGAAAATAATGATTCCAGGTCAAAGTCTTTTAAATATGTATCAAGCTTGGATGATGGTTGTAAAAATAATTTACCAGATATGCAAGACTTGGTTTCCAAGGATCTGATAGCCAATGGACAGGAAGCTTTGTATGAGGGTTGCCAGAGTTACCTGGAAGGTGTTGACAAAGGAGATTGGACAGACAAGGAGGTTTGTCAAGATAGAGAACTGAGGCATTCTCAGAAGGACAAATCGAGGTTTTGTCAAACTAAAGATGCTGAAGTTGTTTCAGGCAGCAACTTAGATGTCTGGTATGATGATAAAGAGTGCTTATTTGGAGACAGTAAGTGTGACCAGTCACTTCTTGGACAATTTCCAGGGACTGATGTAGAGTCATCTTCGATTGATGTAGTAGGGTAAGTAAGACCATCGGTGTTTACTTTGATTATAACTGTTGACAAGTTTCAGTGGAACCAGGGGAATACATTGGCTTCACTTTGTGATGTCATGGATGAGCTCCGCACACGAGGCATCTTTTATTAGGAATTTTCTTGTTGTTTAAACAGTTAATGAACTTTTCCAGTGAAAGCGTATGTTGGCAAGGCTGTCTGCTTATACTTAGGCGACAGTAATTACTAGTTGCCAGTAATTGCCCTGAATATAATTTTAATTGTATTATCTAAATGCCGTCCTTGCCCGATTCCTTCCCATACTATTACTACGTAGCAAGCCTTGTTTGGTCCTGCTTCGTGGGCTAAATTACTTTCCTCTCCCTCTGGATGCTGCCCCTCCTGATGATTTCTCCATCCATAAACACCTTTTGATTTTGTAGATGCCTCTGTTCCTTTTAACCCCACCCGTCTTGGTACACGTGTCGTCGCTGCTCCTTCCCCAGATGCAGCTACCCGCTTGCTTAGCCGCATTGTCCTGCATTATGGAGAACCCTGTTCGGGTCTCCAAAAATGCTCTGTTAAATGCCAGTGTTGGCACTGTTCTCCTCCTGCACCATATTGCTACTGGTGTTGGGGACATAAAAGACTGTCATGAAGATTGTAAACATATCCTTGAAGCCCAAGGCCATCCTGTCCTTCAGGTGCACTCGTTCACTCGATCCCCTCGTAGTCCCTGTCGTCAGCCCCTTTGAGGTGTGAAAATCACCTTCGATAGTAAGACACTTCCGCCCTCTGTCATTTTGCTAGTGCCAGGTGCTCCGTTCACGAGTTCATTCCCTCTCCTCGACTTTGCAATAAGTGTTGGAAATTCGGGCATGGTGCCCTCAAATGCACGAGTACTGTGTATCTGTGCCCCATGTGTAGGGACAATGGTCACTCTAAGTCAAGAGTGCACTTCTCCTCAGGCTCGCTGTCTCAATTGCGGTGAAGCCCACTCTACCTTTTCCCACACGTATATCCACTACAAGCTTGAGGAAGCCGTCCTCAACTTGAAACACCGAGATAGTTTGACTTTTCCGGAAGCCAGACGCCAAGTCCGCCATCTCCACCATTTCACTGGCCTATCATATGCTCGCATGTTGCGTTCTACCTCTCCTCATCCTTCTCACCTTCCTCAGTCCCACAACCGTTTCCAGGCCCAGGACTCTCACACACCCACTACCTCCTCCCCTGTTCCTTTACGTTCTGTCCTGCAAGGTCTCTCTCCTGGTTCTCCCTCTGGTGTTTCCCCCCCCCTTCCTACCCAGACCACCATGTCTCCTATGTCTTCTTTCCCATCTCCCCCCGATCCTTCTTCCCAACCCTTCCCCCAACCTCTAGGCCCTCCACGCCATCTGTCTGTCCAGGCTGTTGTCCATCATTCTCCCAGCAATTTTCGTGTTGTCCGCTCCCGTTCTTCTTCTCCTGTTGAGACCATTGAGTCTGTCGCCAAGTACGTTGTTACTGGAACACCTGCCTCTTCTAGTCGGAAACGTAAGCCTGGCTCCTCTCTTTCCTCCTCCCCAGCGGGTAAGAAAGATCGCTTTCTTCCCCGCCCCCTCCCTCTGACTCTATCGCTACGTCCCCTCCCATTTCGGTGGCCGGGCCCCGTCCCAGATATGGAGGTTTCTTTCACCCCCGATTCCTTCTCGGCTGCTGCCCTTCCTGAGGTGCACTCCCTGATTTCTACCCCCCTTTCCTCCCCCGTCAGACCCCCTCTAGTCTGTCTTCCCGCTCCCTTCCCTCCATCCATTCTAAGTTTACCAATGCCCTCTAACCCTGATTTTGCTGACCCTGATCCTGACCTTGACATTCTTTAGTATACTGTGTAATTCTTTACCTTTGTTTCTTTATTGTTCTCTGTTGCTGTTCTTTCTCTTTGTTAATGTCTATTCTTCAGTGGAATATTCGTGGATTTTCTGCCAAATTCCATGAACTCCAACTATTGATTACACAGTTTTTGCCACTGTGTGTGTCTCCAGGAACCAATGCTTGGTGCTCGTCCTGGTCACTTTCATGGTTATTCCTTTCTTCCCCCCCCTGCCTTATAACTTTATTGCTCTCTTGATTCATTCTGATATTCCCTTCGTCCCCCTACTTTTTCCATCGCCTATCCATTGTTCTGCTGCCCGTGTTTTTGTGAGTAAATGGTATACAGTCTGTTCAATTTATCTCCACCCAAATGTCCCGCTTTCCCTTCCTGAGCTCGAGCACCACCTGGACTCCTTGCCAGAGCCGGTGCTCCTTTTGGGTGATTTCAACTGTCGACATACCATCTGGGATGATGATCTGACAAACACCCGAGGTCGCCTTCTCGAACCATTCGTCCTCGCTTCTTCACTCTCTTCTGAATTCTGGTGAACCCACTCATGTGGACTCTCGGACTTGCACCCTTTCCTGTCTTGATCTTTCCCTCTGCTCGTCGTCCCTTTACATAGATTTCGCGTGAAGGTTTTGATGACCTTCATAAGTGACCCCATCCTTATTTCCTTCTCTTTCCACCCTCCCCTCTCCTTCCTTAGGTGGGAGTTTGCCAAGGCTGACTGGAACCTATTCACCCTCCGTGCTACTCTCTCTGACCTTCCTTCTCTGCCTCTTCCTCGTGCCCTCCTTCTTTTTTATGACACTGTCTTCGACGCTGCCCTTTGCTCTATTACTCGCACTTCCTCCTGGGGCATGCAGAAGTGCGTTCACTGGTGGAATGCAGACTGTGCTCGTTCAACTCCTACCCTCAGCTTGTACGCTGACACTGGCTTCCTATCTCTCCAGGACCGCCGTGATCGCTACTGTTTTTGCTATCTTACATGATACGTACAGCATCCTTATTCTCGCCTCTATCGTGCTTTGACTTTTACCCCTCCTGTAGTTCTTGTTCTTCTTCACCACCTTCCTCTTTCTGTCCGTTTGTCTCGCTTGCAAAATTCTCTTTCGGTTCGTATTACCAATATTTCCCCTCGTCTTGTTCCATCCTTGCCCCCGTGGAGGGTCCCATTCCCAAATTACTTACTTCTGACCCGCATCACTAAAGCTTTTACCCCTCCTACTGTTCTGAAACGCCTCTTCCTTGAGCACTTTTCTTCTCACTCCCATCCATTCCCATCTTCACCAATAGGTCTAAGTCCGCTGACGGTGTAGGCTACTCTGTTGTTTTTTCTGACTACCCTTACATGTATCGCCTTCCTCCGGAGGCTAGCCTCTTCGCAGCAAAACTTTATGCTATTCTCTATGCTCTTCGTCTCCTGCTTTCCCGGTGTCAATCTTCCTTTGTGGTGGTGGTTGACTCTCGTAGTGCCCTCATGACTTTAGGGACCTTTAATCCGGGTCCTGCTCCTTATTGTCCAAATTGCATTGTCCCTCTTACGGTCATGCACATCCTTGCTGAATGTCCTGACTTCTAGGACGAGCTTGTATCTTGCTTTGCGACCATCCCTCGCGGTCAATTGTCCCTCGGTAGAATTCTTGGTGAATTGGATACTTTTGATATCGTTCGCCTTATGCGTTTCTGTTCTCGTCTTGGCATCCTTGGTGATATTTAGTGCCATCTGATTACTCTGCATATTTGATGGTGCTACATAGCCTTCCCAGTTTGGTGCCTTCTTTTGATAATTACTTACTTGTCCGCTGTCCATTTGAAGCCTTTTGCTCGTGCTTCTGTCCTCTCCAATGTTGCTGGTAGTTTTTTTTCCTCTGCCTAATGTTTCGTTTTTGCTCCCCCACCTCTTCTCCTTTTAGATTGTTCCTTTCCTGCCGACTTTTTGCCATTCATGTATGTTCTTTCTGACGTCTTCTGTTTTGATGCCGGGTGCTTAGGGAGGCGTGCACATTCACTCGTTGAACTGTGGTACCTGATGTTGTCAAGCTAAGAGACACTTTATTGTCAAACTTTGCTGCTAAGCCTGATCTTGACGTACTGATAACTGTTAAAGTAGCTATTTCGTGGTGTATATACAAGATGCACCCCTGGGGGAGGTCTCAACTTGTTGTGTGTCCTATCCTCTAATTGTTGATCCATGGATTAATTTTGTGGATGAATTTTTCCTGTTTGTTTTTGTGCTTTTAACTGACCTTCCTTTATCTTCTCACTCATGTGGTATGCGACCAGGCCCCCCTTCCCCCCCCCCCCCCCGAGTCGGAATATACTGGAAGGCTGGGCTCTGAAGCCCCCGATATATTGGGCCTTCACATGCTACTTCTGACTCGCCCAACTGACACTGCTTCCCTCTGCAACGGGGTTGAGCCCAAGCCCCCCCAGTGGTGACCGCCTCCTTCCCTGGCGTGGCTCCATCTCTAGTTATCACAACTGTGCCCTTTTTCCACGTTCTTACCAGGGGTGCTCGGGGCCGTCACCTCTGCACGCTCATGATTCCATCCCAGTCTAATTCGTTCCAGATTTTGTATGGTCCTGCTACATGGACTAAGTATTTTTATCTTAGTCATATTAACCCTATTCGTCCTGATTTATTCCTCCATAAACATCTTGTTGATTCGATGGATACGTTTGTCACTTTTATCCCCACCTGTACTGCTACACGTGTTGTTGCAGCCCCTTCTCAGGAAGCAGATGCCTGCTTAACTTTGTTGTCCTGTCCCTGCCTATCTAGCCCGTTGTCGTCGTGAGGGGGCTTGGTGGATGGCTGCCGAAGTGTGATGCTCCACGGGACAGTCATCTGTCCTTTTGAAAGCCTTATGCTCCTCCTGCTGTTTTCGCCACTTTTGCCGGTTGTCTTTTCCTTTTCCTTATGTTTCATTTTTCTCTCCCCCCCCCTCTTTTCTAATGATCATTTCCTGTCGACCTTTTGCCTGTCTTGATTCTTGTTTTGGACATCTTCTGTTTTGACGCCCAGGTGTTTGGGGAGGTGCGCACACTCACCCCGTAGAACTGTGGTACCCAACATCGCGAGCGAGGGAGACACTATTATTGTCAATCCTCCTATCGTCACTGAACCCGATCTCGACGGACTGACGGTTCTTAAGGTGGTGATTGT